TTACATTTTCCTACTCTTTAGTCCCTGTTGCGTGAGACCTTGCCCAAAATCCAGCTCGCTCTGAGGTCAGGTTGGGAGATGTGCCTTGTCCCTGGGAACTAGGTATGAATTTAGACCCCAGTCTTGTAAGGGGATCACAGACGCAATCATTAGTGCCCTGCAGTATGGATATAACAGGACTTGCCAGGGAAAACCCTACCAGCAGAGAAGTCGTGTTCATGAAAATCCCGTGAATTGTCTCATTCCCTACCTCAGGCTGGGCAAAGGGGTCTGCATGCGCCCCCCAGTAGAGAGGGGCCCGAATCCACCCTGCTCTGCATACTATGGAGTGTATGTGTGTGTATATGTGACCGTGTGGTGACCAAAATGCCCGACCAGAGAAATCACCGTGTGAGAAAGGGGCATCCTCAGCGCCCAGGGGCTGTCGTCAGCGTGTTCTTCCACTGAGCAAACGCGACTTGTGGAGCTAAGCCTCTGCTGTGCTCCCATAAAGGGACGAGAAGAGCCTCCAGGGCTCCGCAGATTTGCGTCTCATCCATTCTGATCTCTCGGTGCTCCTGCGGTAACACCTAAGGCCTCTGCTTGATTTCAGGGGTGTGTGCGGTGAATGGCCTCCTGTATGTGGTTGGCGGGGACGACGGATCCTGCAACTTGGCCTCGGTGGAGTACTACAACCCTGTCACCGACAAGTGGACGCTGCTGCCCACCAACATGAGCACCGGGCGCAGCTATGCAGGTCGGGGCGTCCGTCTCCACCCCCACGCCCCAGAGGCTCCAACACCCCGGGAGTACGGGGGTGGGCTGGGGTGGTGGGATGAGGGGACATGGGCCTGCTTAACTTAGGACCGAGTGCTTCCTCCAGAGGTGGCAGGTAATTGTCACATGGCCACCATTCCGTCACTGATAATTAGCACTTGTGTCCCCACGGATCCGCATGTGTAGCCTCAGAATTCTTAAAGCAGTGCTCCAGGGAGCCACTTCCAACGGCTCTAAGCTGTCACAAGAGATGTTAGAATTTCATTGCCATTCCTGGTTTATTCTGTGCCAGGCTCCTGGGTGGCATCAGGTACAGTTCTTGCTGTCCAGAATTTGACTGGAAAGATTAGAGCTGCCTACACAAAACAGGGAAATCCAAGATGATATACACGTGGGTTGTAAATGACATGCAGCAGGCAGGCTTTGCGACATGACAGACCAGTGGGAGCTGGCACAGTCAGGGAACAGGGCTCCATTAAACTTTGTGGGTGGATGACAGTCACGCGAACAGCTGCCCTCTGCTGGTCGCCCCTCTCTGCTGCGGGGCAGTGTTGGCTACAGTGTATGCATCACTTCATCTTTTCAGCTGCTCTCAGTCTGAATAGAACCGTATCCTCCCATTTTGTGGAAGATGAAACTGGGGTTTGGAGAGTTTAAGTAACTTGCCAAAGGCCACACAGGTAGTAAATGGCAAAGTCAGAGTTCAAACTCAGGTCTGACTTCGAAGCCCACGCCCTTTGTGCTGCCCCGGCTCGGGATCTGTGGCGGCAGGAGTAAGGCACGAGGCTGGTGTGTCGGCATCTTCTTGGGGAGTGTGGGGCAGGGGCAGGGGCAGCGTCAGAGTTGGTGCTGCTGAGGTCAGAGGCCCACGGGAGACAAGCACATGTACCTCCACAATGCAGCCCACCCAGCTCCTTACGTCGGGGTTTTCAGACACCAGAATAGTTAGAGTTACCATTCATTTATTGAGCGCACACCGTGTGCCAGGCATCACCCTAACAATCATTATCTCATTTAATCCACACCAAAGCTGCAGTGGCTTCTTATTCCTGCTTTGCATTAGGAAGGTCAGCCGCCCCTCTTGTCTGGATTTCAGCGCAAAGGACGATTGTGCTGTGCAGGCGCGAAGGGTTTGTGTTGCTTTCTCTCAGCGCAAGGCTTCATTGCAACGAACTTCTTTCACTTTTTCCCTCTGTTAGGGTTTTTTTTTCACCTGTCACATTTTTCTTGGTTAAATATAAAAGATTTTAGAAGCATTTTGGTTATAGGGCGATTCTGTTCTCCTGGTTTATTATGAAGTCCAGCACCGTCATTTCCTTTTGGAAGCTGTAGGGGGAAGGGCAGGGCGTTTTCTCGACGAGGCAGTGAGGCCCGTGAGGGACCTGCCCTGGTTCCACCCGTGCCTTGATGAGAGGGGAGAGGCTGAGAGTGGGCGGTTAGAATGTTGTGCATGTACCAAACATTCGTGTCCCTTTCTTCATCGTCCGCCTCCTCCAGAAGCGGGTGGGGAGACCGCAGATGTGCAATTTCGTGTTCAAACCATTGACCGAGTGAGGCTGTTATCTTAAAATCTAAGGAAACGCTCCAAAATGCAAAAGTTATGGACAAAGGTATTATCGGAGCATTGCTTATAATAGCAAAACACTAACAATCGCTTAATACCCTGACACGAGGGAAATAATCTATGGAGTATTTATATAGTAGATGTATTTTTAATGTCATGAGAAAATGTTGATAACAAGCTGTTACGTTGAAAAAAGGAGGGTGTGAAGTTGTATGTGCTATGTGAGCTCAGTCATATGGTTCTTTTGGGGGGCGGGGAATAGCTACTGCTTCTAGAGATGGATATTGGAGTTGGATCCGAATCTGAATCTCCGTTCTGCCACTAGCCCTGAGTCTCTGGGCCAGGTATTCTATCTGACTGAACCTCTGTTGCTTCATTCGTAAAATGGGAATGAAATCAGAGCCTCTTACAGTGTTGTGAGGACGAAATTCAGTCATTTAAAGAGCTTAGCACAATGCCTGCCTGGCACTCGACACCGTGTGGTAAATGATCGAGATTATCGTTAGAGGCCAGGAAGTATTCCAGAAGGATAATGGTGGTTCTCTTTGTACGAAGGGATTAAAGATTTTTTCTTCGTGTTCTTCTGCATTTTCTACATTTTCCATAATGAGAATATATTACTTTTATAATCCAAAGAGGAAGTTTCTATTAAAAAGCAACACATAGGAGCCTGTTTTTTTTTTTTTAACTACCTTGTAAAAGAGATGCTTGAGGTATGGGTGAGATAGTGCAAGGTCAGGCAGCATACCTGGTCTGGACTCAGGTTCTGCCCGCCTCCAGCCTTCTGTCTGCACCTTTATCCAGGAATTAACAGGAAATAGATGTCTCAGTAGAATCTTTCTGTTCTGGGCTTCCTTTTAGCAGTGTTTTCACAATCTCATCTTCAACGAGAACATCTTATAGTTGTGAGAATATGTTAAAATAAAACTCCATCTTACCTGTAAATTAGGATTCTGTTCAGCAGCAGATACCGGAAAACCTGACAGATACTTGCCTCAATAAGGAAGAGGATGTATTTGTCTCGTGTAGAAAGAAGTCCAAGGTTGGCCTGGTGGTCCAGACTGTCATTGAAGAACCAGACTTCTCCTTTCTTTTCTGTTCTGCCAGCTTTATCAATAGCTGCTGCCGCCCCTTGGGCCTTGCATGAGCATTCTAGGCAGGACAAGGACAAAGCCATCATGGCAGCACTGGCAGACCTGCGTTTACAGTCTCACGGCCAGGATCACTGGCGCTTCTAGCTGCAAGGTAGTCTGGGAAGCCGAGCTTGTAACTTGGTGGTGTCTGCAGTGGAGGACAGCAAGTAGAAGGGATGCTGACTGAATCAGCCTATGGTGTCTGCACATAGCCCCAGTCCCTTACAGTGAGATTTTGGGTCACACCTGAATTTATAAAAATTAGGTGCTGAGCACAGTTCAGCTTGATTAAAACAGTAACGCACATACGTGTCTGAAGTGTTTCTCTGAGTCCGTCAGTCAGACGACGTCACATAATATGAGAACTGAGCCTAAAGAGGTGAGTGGATTTGCGTAAGGCCACAATGCAGGTTGGCTGGTGGCAGAGCTAGGACTGGAATTCAGTTTTTTTTTGCCTCCATGAAGTCAGAATACTGTTCTTTCCAGTTTATTTCAGTGTCTTCTAAAAGTAGATATAAATCATTTAGCACTTCTCTAAAGTGATACAAATTTAGAGCTGTGTAGCTGCGTCTGGGCTTCCGGTGAGGGTACTGAACGCTGTTGAGCTGGTTGCTAGGGTTGGGAACGGGAGTCACGACCGTGAGCCCGTGATGACGTGGGATGAGACCACTAACCTGTGGCGGTTGAGGGACTGTACCTGTGGGTTGAAATATCTTGCCAGGACTTGGCTGTCAGAAGGGGAAACAACTGGCTTCTAGCAGCCCGAGTCCACAGACTCTTCAATATTTGGATAAAAATTGTACCCGTTTCCCTTGGCTGTGACTCAGGGTGTCTGGGATTTATGAACTCACTGGGTGGCACTCTGAATAACTTTGCAGAGGCCGCGATGCTAACTTTCTCCCCGTTATTTTAGGTGTTGCTGTAATTCACAAGTCCTTATGACCCAAACTCCCACTGCCCGGAGGTGGAGGAAGGAGCAGGTCCTGCCTGTGACGCAGAACAGCAGGACCTCGGCAGCTGGATTCAACTCGCGGGCAGGTCTGCGGCGGGGCAAGAATCACCCTCCTCCAGCTTGGCAGACCGGTGTCGTCTGTCACAGCGCGGACATCAGTGATCACCAGTGACCCTCCTGCTTCCGTGAGGTGCTTTGGCCTCTGCCCAGAGCAGTGGAGTTCCTGACAGCCCCATGCAGCACCTTTGGGCTTTTCTTGGTGTTTCTACAGGGACAACAGAGAACCTGGAACATATGTGTGTGTGCGTGTGTGTGCGCGTGGGCGCTTGCGTGTGTGTGTATGTGTGTGCGTGTGTAGAACGTGGTGTTTCACTACCTTCAGGGGTGAAGTGTGTGACGGTCTACTGGATTTCTTTACTACTGATCCTTTCACTATGCTAAAAATCAAATCACAAAAATGTCTCTTCTGGATTTGTCCCATGGGGACCCTGAGACTACTAAAGCTGCTGTCTTCTGAAGGTGCAGTTGGACCGGCTGGAATGTCCAGAAATAACCGGTGGGAAGAGCAGTTCATTTGACCATGCCTGCGTATGGGACTCGACTACTGTAACTTTGTCTGCGGAAGAGCTGGGCCTTCTCGAAGCTACACTGTGTCACCTGTGTGCTAGACTAGGGGAGGACGGGTTCCCTGCGCTCCTCAGCTGGCTGCTCTTGCGTGGGCTGTCCTCTAGGAAGCAAGGGAGACCTGCCCAGTCTTCAGTCTGGGCCGCTGGGTTTTGATGTCGTGAATTCCAGGTTTGGGAGATTTTGTGTCTCTTTAGCTGGGAAAACTAGCCCTTCAGAAAAGTCCTAGGTAACACACTGGAGAAAAAATACACAGGAAGGAAACAAAAACAAAAAAACCAAAGTGGTAAGATTCAGTCCCTGCCCATAATGGTCTCAGAGAGGGATCCTACTTCTGGGTTTTCCCAAGACAGGACAGTCCCTGTTTGTACTTAGTATCCAGGCTTAATTATTCATAGTGCCCCATCTTACTCTCCAAAGGGTTCTGGTTTGGAGCATAAGTAAAAGGTCACCCTCCCTCCAAACCCAAAGATAGGTTTGTCCCTGTGTTGGATGGGTTGTGTGCGATTCAGATGCACGTGGATGACTTCGAAGGAATACACCAGCGGGAGCTGGCCCTTGGCACTTCGTGACGTTGGTCAAGCCTGTCTGATGTCCTTGCCTTCCTTTTCGTGTGCTTTCCCCCATTCCAGGGTCTATACCCTCTCCCCACCCCCAGGATCCTCATCCCCACTTTCCCTTCGGGGTAGGAGATGGCAGGGGACCTGGATTTGAGATCTCTCCCAAGGGGTACTTGTATTTTAAAAGAGGAGCTTAATGAGAACTTTCCTAATTCACAGGTAAAAATTATTAATGCTACAGCTTCAAACATCTGGAAGGGTGGGTATTTGAGGGTGCATGGAGTCATTTGCATTTAAAAAAAAAACCTTAAAGCTGTATTGTTCCTTAACTAGCAAATTGCTTTTGCTGGAATTTCCAGCATAGGAGAGGAAGTCTTGTGTCTAGAGAATAGTCTCATCACTTGGGGGCTGGGGGTTTAACACCCCCTCATGTCAAGGTCTACCTACAGGAAGCCAAGGGGCTTCATAAGCCCTGATGTTGGACTTCTGATACATCTGGGCTACTTCCAAGCACATACTGTGGCAGATTAGCACCCCCAACCCCTGCAGTTAGAAGCCCAGGAGTCTCCCAGCTAGTTGGCCACTTCGTGTATTTACTGTATATTTATTGTGTGCTAAATATGCAACTTCCCTGAAGACAAAACTTCTCTTTCTAGTGCTAAGCAGATGTTACTTTAATAAGACATTTGGAGAGCAAAAAGACACCTAAAATTTTTAGAAGCCTTGGGAAAAGGGTAAAATGTCCAGCTTTGGTAGACCTGGGAGAACTGTCTCCAAAGGACGGAGGGCGTGCTTTAGTGGGGTGCTCTGGGCTCACTTGGCGGTGGGGATGGCTGTGGTTTCAGAGCTGTGCCTTGCTCTGGGTTGGAAGTTGATGGAATGAGCTTTTTGTTCCAAATGCCCTTTCTTCCTCTCCAGTGAAGTTTGAGACTTGTTTGGGTGTGCCTGTGGTGGGGACGAAAGTGGGTTGGGACCTGGTGTATGCTGTTCACAGACCTGTCGATTTCGGATAAGGCGTAGTCCCCTTGCCCTCCCCACCGCGGAGAAGCTGGACTTCCATGCTTGTGTAGGGGAGACTGTTTTTTCTGTGTCATCTTCCCAGAAAGGGTCCCTTTCCTGAAAGCTAGCCGGCCGTGTTTCCTGCTTTTGGATTTTTGCTATTGGTTCCACTTGGCATCTCCCTTCCTGGGAAGCGCTGCCTCTGCCGGTCGTGCCGAGGCTACGTTCATCTCATCCTCACGTGTCCTTTCTCACGGGGACTAGAACACTGGTACGTCATCACCAAAGCCAATCTGCTCTAGCTGCCCACAGATGCCATCCCAAAACTCGTCTCTCCACCAGGTACGATTCTTTCTCCTCAGTAGACACAACAGACTTATTTTCAAGTTTGTGCTCGTCACAAGGTAGGTGAAACCTCCTCCCGCGCGCACAGGGCGGCCGCTGCTGGTTGCGACGCAGCTTTGCCCGCAGCGGATCTGTGATCTGACTGCAGCGGTGAAATGGGATTGAGGCCCAAGGTTAGAAGCAGCTTAAACGCCACTTGGATACTGATTTGGACAACACAGAAGTCAGATTCTGAATTCCAAAGTTATTTCTCATAAGTACCCAATGGCATCTCTCAATCTAAAAAGTTGCAGTATTATGCAAATGAAAGTGACCTCATTTTCTGCTATGCAATAAGAATGCTTAATTTTATTTCATGACAAGCCAGCTGCACTGTCCCCTAAGATGCTTTTTGAGCTGTCTTACTTTGATATCTGTTGTGTAATATTTGTATATTTCTGAGCCAGATCCTTTCAAAGATTGCCTTTTTATAAAATTGAAGCTATAGCTTTTAGGCTAAAATTTTAATGTAGATATTTTTATAAGATAATTTTTCAAGATATTTGAATTGCTTTTTATTGTCCATGATAATGGAATGTTATGTTCTGTGTCATTCACTCTCAAGCATAGTTCGTGCCTGTAGCTATCTTCCCTTTGTTTCTCACCCTCCAAAAGTGGATTTTTCAGTAGCTCCAGGTAGATGAGTCGTCTTTTTTAAACCATATTCAAGGAAAACTGCTGAATTTCAAAACGCAGTCACTGGTGTTTCTTGAACTGCTAGGGACTAATGTTAAGCTTGACTCAGCGCTTACCCATCTATACTGCTTGTCTATTCTTTTTTGAGTCTGCTTTCTGCAGGGGAGAGGCTGGGTTGGCCCATCTCCTGGTGGCTGTCACTGGCTGGTGCTAAGCCTGGCACACCGTAGCATGGAGAAACCCCAGACAAAGGCCTGCCCACAAGCACATACTCCTGGAGTTTCCTAGGTCCAGCAGACTGCTCCTCATTCTCTTCTCTCCCTGTTCTTCCGAAGCTTCCAATAGCTTGAGGCATTTGCTGTCGGCTCGTGTCCCTTGTGGAAGCATCTTGTCTCTGAACTTTGAAAGAGGGGTTGATCCTCACGATCCCCATTAAGAAATGTGTTAAGCATGTGCTTTGTAGATGCTATGCTTACGACTTAGGGAACAACTTGTTTCTTGAGCTGCGTCTACACTCCAGGCTCTGTTTCGTATATTTATCTGCCATTAGCCTCATGGGCTTTTTTTTCTTTTTTTTGAATCTTTATTTTTATTATTGTTGGGACACGTGCCATTTAAATTGCCTCCATGCTTCCTGTTTGCACCTAGCTGGATCAAGTCGGGAGGTTAAGCAAACTCATATTCCAGTTAGCTGGAGTTTTTAAGGCTCTGTTTGCCCGGAGAAGCAAGGAGGTTGGAATGTATTTTTTTTAAGCGTTTGCACTATTTGGAGTCAGTCCTAAGCTCCTCGTGTTCACCTGTGCTGTGTATCTACTGACCAAGCAGGAGAGCTGGCAGCACTTCCAACATTTGGGAATGGAAGAGACTTCTTCCGTAGTGGATAACTGCAACCTCATAGCCCCTGTGCACCCTTTGTCATGGGACTCAGCGACTCACGGACACAGCGTCAGCCACGGCAGGAGGGCATAGGACTGTGGCATTGGCAGAAACAAATTTCCCTAGTGCTACATTCTTGCCTTTGGCTATGAGATTGTAAACTGTCTTTCCCCCTTTTCAGTGGCAATAAAGGACCCTTGTTGGACTTCTTGTTTAATTTGTATATGACATGTAAAATACTTTCTTTGAAAGAAAACTCAAGACACTGAATGCGTATGTCTGTGTGGGTGCTCTGTCCCTGGGGTTGTCATAGGCAGGCCGACTTGATTGCTGACACTGTACCACATACTGCATAGGCGAGGTCTTTGATCCGGTGTTTTATGCATGGATGTTGGGAACTGTACATCTTGTAAAGGAACACTTGTCACATGCTCGATCAGTTACAGTGATAGCTGAAGAAACATCTCCTCAAATGTATCATTTTAACAGGGATCATGGTCTAGTTTCCCATCCTTTAATTTTAATAAAAGCTGAACTGTGCAAACCTTTCTCAGTATTTCATTTCTATAGTCCAGCCTTTCCACTGTATCTCTGACATGAAAAGGACAGACTTATTGCTCTGCGTATCTTCATATTTAAAAGTTTTTCTCTTTAAGGTCTGCTGGACAGGGTCTGGGTTCCTTTGGTCTCCATCACCTGGCCCCAGCACAGTGCCAGACCCACAAAGACCTTCAGTGAGGCCCATATAGGACGGTCCCTTCAGCGTGGTGTGGGCAACTGCCAGGTAATCATCGGGACCCGCTGGGCATGGATTTGGAGGGTAGGATGGCTGGCTAAGCTGGCATCACCATTTGGGAGGGAGCTTCTTGTGAAGTGGGCCCAGATACTTGGCTCAGCTGCGACTTCTCAGAGCCCCCTGCACAGGGACCTGAGCTCCCCC